GACACAAAATGAGATTCAAAAAAATTTTGTTCACATCTAAAATTTCTCAAAAAATGAAAAATTCTTCTTTTAAACAGAAATACTGATATATTTAACAATTATCCTTTTTTTATTATGAAAAAGTATTTCTATACTTAATAATCTATTTTTATATATTTAACAAATATTGTTACTTATATCACATATTAAGTGGTATTAATGCTTTTTTAGTGCTTATCAAGAATCAAATTATGTTTTATTAAATATTAAGATGTAGAATATTGGTAAGAGTCTTATGCAAAAAAGGGAGGTTATTTAACTTGACAAAATATTATAAAGCCATTTGAATATAATAATATAAGTTTTATGAAGAGAGTCAAGAAGTTCTTTTCATTTTTATATCTTTTTTATTGATTTATACTATAAGTCACATAATAATAGTAACATACAAAGTATTCTAATATTCATTCAAGTTAAAACTAGGACTTAGAGAACTTTCTGGAAAGATACGAATTCCAGATGTATAGTTATTCTGTATATTCTAGAATTTAGTGAGATTTTCTTTATTTAAAAGGACTTTAAAATGAAGTCTTTCTTAGTGAATTACCAGTTGTTTAAGGTGATGTTAACAAACTATACATTTCAGTATCTCCTGTATCTGGAACTGGATATACATCTCCATCACTTTATAAGTTAGATAGTGGCATTTAATTTAGTTTCTGCATTCTAATCGAGAAAAGCTTCTAAAAATAATTTAAAATTATTGTTTAAGTAAAAAATAAAATATTTGCTTTAACCCAATTTAATGAGGTCATTTTTTAATATTGACTTAACTTATTTTAGGCAATAAAAGATGTATATAGTTGGTAATACTGTAATATATCTTTTTTAATATTATTATATTTTAAATATATTTATTTATCATTTACAAACATATAAAGCAAACCCATTGCACACATATTAGGCCAAATGAATGTAATCTTATAATTCTAATAATTCTATTGGAATGGCATTTCTACTCCAATTATTTTTTTCATATTCAATAGATTTAATACTTTATTCTAAACCTTTAAAAACATCTTCACTTGTTTTCTTCATCAAATCAGATATATTGAAAAACCCTATTCTATTTGAATTACAACACATTAAAGTTGTTTCATCAAGACTAATAGATACTGATCTTATATAATCTCTCCCATTGGCACTATGAAAATCACTTCTTTATAAATAGATTTTCTCTTTTAAAAGTCTAGTAATAGGCAAATAGAATAAAACAACTGATCCAGAATCACACCCAATACATAAAAATTAACCAGTAAATGAAACATTCATACAGGTGATATTTCCATCCAAAAAGGATATATACATACATTCAGCTTTATCAATAGACCAAATTCTAAAGATTCTGTTTTCTTCTGCAGTAACTACATATTCAACAGATGGAACAAATTCTACTAATTTGACTTAATTCATTACAGGTCCAAATATTCTAATACATTAATTTTAATCAGTAGCCCATAATAGAGCAGTTCCATCTGAAGATGCACTTGCAAACCAATAACCCATAGGAGCAAATGCTAAATGCCAGATTGTTTATAAATGTCCTTTATAAACAACTAAAGGTTATCTAGATTTTAAGCATGAAAATTTTATAGTTAAATCAACTGAAACTGAAATGATATAATTCTCATCATAGAGAATGCTAATAGCTGTTACAGGTCCTTCATGTATATGCATTTCAAAACTAGGATTACAAAGTAATCTATTTTATCTATTTTATTTTAATTCATTCATATCATAAATTAATATGTTACCATCATAACAACCACAACATATTATTTTACAAAATTTACTTATTTAAATATAAGAAATCACATTAGGTAAATCTTATAATTTAATACCTAGTAAATTCTTTTGTTAATTTAATAAACATTCAATTAATTTAGTATCATGTGATAATTTATATTTAATTAATTGAGAATATTTAACTTATTTTTCATTACTATTATCTTATTATTATTATTATTATTATCTTCTCTATTATAACTTTTTTATCACTTCTTATTTCATTTGATTTGCTATTTGATAAGGTAATTATTTTTATTCAATTAATTATTGAATTTCTGAGAAATCTTATTAACTCAAAGGATCAAGATGAGACTTTTAACATTTCTCTATTTAAACTATGATTCTTAACCAATCATCTTCTATAAAAGTATTAAAATATTTTTCTTTTGTTTTCATATTTTCTTCAATTAATTTTAAATCTCTCCATTTATCATCCTTTGCATTTATTTAAATAGATTCCATTTCTTTATTAAATTTGAATAATCCACTTAAAGTTGCATATCTATTTGTACTAAAATAATCACTATTTGAATATTGATTAAACTTAAGTTTATTTTTGAAATCTTAGAATATTTCATTTTAATGTTTTAAATATTCTGAAATATAATTTATTTTCTCAAACATTATTGATGTTGTTGTTATTGGACAATATCTATAAAATTGACTATATCCAGATAAATATTAATCATCATGTCGATTTTTAGATAATGTTAATAATTCATCACGAATACTTTCATTTAAATATGCTGCATTCTAATTTACCATATATTAAATGAATTCATTTAATTCTTTACGTGCCTACAATTATTCATCTTCCTTTTTTAATAAACTTTCCTAATAAATTTTATATAGCTTTTCCATCATAAATGAACTGCATAAGAAATGCAAAAATTCAATCTAAGGTCTCTAACTAGCTATCTCCTAAGAAATAAATTGTTAATAAAAATCAGCTAATATCTTTTCATAAGTGATCGATTTCTTTGGTATTTAAAGCATAATATAATTATTTTATTATTAATATATATAATTATATATTATTTATTTATAATAATATATAAATAAATATATACAAATAATAGATATAAAATATTGCAATTATTAAAAACATGTCTAAATTATAATATTCAATCATTCTATTATTTTATTTATATTCAATAATAATATAGATTTCATATTATATTAATGATATCATTTATTTTATATTAATATTTATATATAACAGCAAAATTTATTATTAAAAAATGGGTAATTAAACTTCTTATGTAAATGAATAAGTGATTTCAATGGATGGAAAATTAGAAGATAATTTAGAATGCATTGGATCAAAATAACATAAATATTTAGGATTGATTTAATTATGGAGGAGAGATTCTAAAAGTAAACCAACAATCTTCTCAAAAGTATCAATATACCTAGTGTAATAAGCAATCACATAGTGGATAACGACATGATATCAATATGAATGAACATAATGATAGAAAAAAAGTTAATCATCCAAATATTCTTTAATATTATGGCTGCTAATCTAATTATTTAACATTTAAAGGTAATATCCTATAAACTAAATTCTTTTTTGAATATATATCAAATACTTTAGATAATATTATCGATTTTCATAAAAAGAATTGTAGTTATTTAGAAGAATCTGAAATTTGGAAAGTAATTTATATTATCATATTATTCATTTAGATAATATAATAAATAGTTTCTGCTTGTTCATTTTTATAAAAATTAGATTTATTTCATGGAGATTTGAATCCATAAACAATCTTTATTGATAATTCAAAATAAGTTAAAATATTGGTACTTGAAATAAATAACTAAATAGTATCATAATGCTTATCCAGAAATTATTACATCATATGCTAAATTATTAGCATATTAGGATGCTAGTGTTTACATATCACCATAATAATTAGATTCTTTAGCAACCTAATCAGTAACTCCAAAAGATGACCCTTTTAAAACAGATTCATTTTAATTTGGACTCACACTATTAGAATTAATGACTATGACATCAAGTATTCTATAATTATTTATTATGAGTCTTCGAAGATTGTATAGATTATTAAAGAAAAACTATTTATTATAAATCTATTATGGATCTATTATCATCAGCAAGAAAGAGATATTCTTAATAATTGATTAATTTAGTATAAAGATTGATAACATTTGATGAATAATCAAGACCAACACTTTCTGATATACTTTTTGATACTAATTTCTAATAATAAGGTAGTAATTTTCTACCTTAATCTAAAATAAGAAGATATACATCACCTCCTAAATAACCTGAAAGAACTAATTCACCTCCACCTGATATGGGATTTAGTAGCAAATCTCCAGATTAAAGAGATCTATCTAATCAATCATTTTTTAGAACTCCTTTATAAAGAAGTTATTCACCTATTTTGGATAGATCTGCTAAATATCTAAGTCCTGCTTAAAGTAGAAATACAACAGCCTTAAGTATGTTTAATAAGAGTCCAAACTAATAAAAAATATTGATTTAAAATTCAACTCCAATTAAAAATGAAAGAGGAAGAAAACTTAATACTGTTACTGAAAATACTAGAAATGTTTTGATCATAAGCAGAAGTCCAATATAAAATTAATCAAGAAAAACATCATTTCAATATAATTCAAATCATCAATCTTCTATTAAAATTGTTAATCCTTAATAATATGTTAACTTTTAGTCTCCATATTAATAAAAATTTTATTAGGAATCAATTAATTAGAAATAAATAAATCCTTAATAACAGTTTTCTTAAACTCTCTAACATTTTGTATAACCTTATCACAACAATTAAGAAAACTTTAATAATACCTTAAAAAAACCTGAATCTAAACACTTTAACCAAAATTAAGAAGCCTAATTACATAACATACAATAATAATAGACTCAATTAGTAAATCCACATGGTAAAACACCATAAAAAGTGCCATCAAAAGGTATTAATTTACTATCCCCACTTTAAAGTAATAATAAATGATTTATTGTTATATTATTTGATAACTGAATAGATTATTTATAATTCTTAATTTAGTAAATAAATAAATTATAATAATTTAAATCTATAATAGAACTACTTTATGTAATGAAAGATCAATTGAATATTATATTTAATTTCTTCTTAATTAGTTCATACATTATAAATTATTTTATAAATTCATTTCTTAGCACTTATTGGTCTCTTTGTTCCATTTTGAGATTTATTACCAACAGCAGATTAAGGTCTTGATAAATAATTTGAAAAAGGAAATTATTAAGATTCATCTTAAATATCCTAAAACTATTATTATTGTTCAATATTGTATCTCTTAATATCAGCTTAATAATATTTTCCATCTGTTCCTTTTACCTAATTTTTTACAATTATTTTTACTCTTTATTGATTAGTTGTACTACAACTCAAACAATTTATTGGATATAACTTTTTTGCTCCAACTCCAATAATCTAATCTGTTGGTGGAGATGCTGATTACTTATTATTCATAGGTGTTTTCCTGATTTAAACTACATTATATTAAATATATATACCTTATAATTAATCAATTTCTCTTCTTAAATAATTAATTGTTTCCATTGCTTATCCTAATCTAGTTTCTAAATTATGTAGTTCTCTTTTCATATCATCTTCATTGGCTTTATTTTTTACTTTGTTTATAAGACCATTTATATCTAAATCTCTAAATATTCTTGTGACTCTTTTTTCAATTTCATTAGCATTTTCAACTTTGTGAACAATATCTTATAAATCCTTTTATATTTTTTTGATTTTATCATCTTCAATATTTCCTTATTATTGAAATTACTCAAACATTCTATTTATCTCATCTTTTGTAACAAATTTTTGTTCTTCTGTTGAATTTTGTATTTATTATTATTATTATTGTTAATACAATTGAGAAAAGAATTGAAAACTATCATATCTTTATTTGAATTCTGAATCAAGTGTTTCCCAATGTACATTATTTCTAATTGACATTTCTTCTAATTTTTTAATGTCACCTTCAAGTGTACAAATTTTATGAGGATCAATTTTAGATAAAAGATATGCTACATTTTCAGCATTCAAATTCATATCTTTTAATGCTTCAGTTCTTTCTTTTGCTTCATCATTCAATCTTTAATTTGAATCTTCTAATTATTTGATTTTTTATCTATGTTAATCTAATTAATTAGAAACATCTAATTTATTTATGGCAGTTGCTAATCTGCTATTTAAATCTAAAATTTTATCACTTTACTATTTATTTGATTCAACTAATTTGTCAATCAGATGTATTTTTTATTTTAATCTTTTGATATATTCTAAATTTACAATTCATTCATTTCATTAATTTATAATTTTAACTTTTACTATTTCTCTCCTACTAAATCATCTAAACCTTTAATTTGACTTCTGATATAAGCAATATCTTATTGAAATTTAATTAATTGTTCATTATTTTATGTTTATTAAATCTATATATATATTCAAATTTATAATAAATACTTCTTTTAAAATTTTATCCTCACTTATTCTAATTGCTTCATTAACAAATTCTTCATTTATTCTCTTAGACAAAAGATCTTAGCAATCATGTATTTTCCAAAGAGTTTTTCTATATATTCATAATTATTTATAAACCTTTCTACATCTCTAACAGCTTCCTCAAATTTTTAAATATCTGTTGATAATCTTTTCTCAACTGTATCTAATTCATTTCTTCCACTCTTTTATAATTCTTCTATTTATTATTCTAATTAGTTCTTTTGTTTTCTCATTTTTTCCTTACAATCTTTAGTATCATATTTAATAAGCATATCATTTTCCAATTTTGTAATACGTTAATCTTATCTCTAATTATAAATTCATTCCATACTATTCTTTCTCTATGTAATTGTTGAATCATCGAAACAACAGAAAATAGTTTACCCCTTAATTCAGTAATTATTTTCTCCAAAACTCCTTTGCCAAATTTCTACTTTCCCTGAATCTAAGTTATATAGGTATGCAAAGAACTTGATAATTCCTTTTCAATATCCTTATCTGTAAACAATAATGATTCACTTATCAATTGAAACTATTCTTGAATCTAAAATACAAAATTTTATAACTAATAATATAATTTCGCTTGGCCCCACTAACTTCTTAATTGCCTCAATCTCAACAGTATGGTTATCAAGATCTCCTTAGACTCCTTCCAAAAATTATTTCAAATGGTCATAATTAACATCTAATTTAAATAGGGAAACCCCTTTCAAACTCAATTCATCTAAATATTGATTTCATTTGTACCTCCCAGCTCTTTCCTACTCTTTTAACTTCCTTTACTTTTGATGTCCATTTAATAATTTTAAAATGTTTTATGAATACTCATATATCATTTATTACAATACAATTATATAAAATATTAATCAATAACGCATTTAAGTCATATTCAAGCGCCTATTAAATTGCAATAGTGCTATTTCATATTTTTGATTAAAACTGATATAAATGTTATACTTGTGATATAATATTAATGCAGTAACAAGTCTGCAAAATAATCTTTACTTAACTTTTCTAATAATTTTTATAAAATTATTAAATTAACAATATTTTTAACTGTTTTAGTTTTGCTAACAGAATTTGACACTTTAACTATCCTTATTACTTATAAATATATATATGGATTAAAAATACTATATTTGAAACATATATTGACAATAAATAATACTTAATGATATTTATTATGTAATAATTGAATTTAAGATATACCCCTGGTTGTTTTAAGCTTATTCGATCGATTTAATTATATAATAGCTTTGATAACAGTCTTACTAGATTGATTACCAAGTCTTTTTCTAATAGCAAATTTTTCAATTTTTTTAAGAACATTATTTTTACATTTATATTGATTTCAAGGACTAATTTTAGAGAATCTCATAATAATGAATATTCTAATGTCTCAGCTTGCTAAAAACATAAACTGTTTTCAAAATTACAATAATATATCTACTATTATATTCTTGATGTTTCTATTATTCCTTTACTAATTTTTGATATCTTTAAAATTTTATAATACTAAAAAGTCCAAGTTTTATAAGTAGTTAATTATAATATTTTTTATTATAAAATTATTTCATCATAATTATTTCTATTGTTTCTATTCTATTTTGATCTGTCAATGATTAATCTTTATAATTGTTTAAGATATTGTTAGATTCTTTCATCATATTAAATTAATAGGTTTATATTACTTTATGAATAAAAATATATGAACTATCAATGTTTTGGTGGCCAAACCAAATTAAGAACTCTTCCAATGTAATCATAAAGTGTAAATGTAATAGCAACATCCAAAACAACTCTTCCCAATCTTGGTACAGTTCCTAAAATTTAGATATATATAATTTACCTTTGTAGAATCCTCTAACTCCTTCTTGTAGATAAGTTTATTTACAACAATCCAATACACCATTATATTAGTGTGCTCTAAGGCCTTACATTTATGTTTTAATAACATCAACAGGAGTATTACACATCACTGATGCTGCACCAGCAATACCTCCTGAAAATAAAAGGACAACTGGTTCTGGTAAAAATGTGAAAGTTTTCTATATAATATATATATATTTATACTTAAATGAACTTCTTAGTATCTTCAAATACAACAAATCTGATTCCCTAATTGCTGCCTTATTTTAAAATAGTTGGAACCAATCCTTTATAAATACCTGATAAACCCATTTCATTTACAATAGATCCAATTCCATGAATCATTCCTCTATATTTAGGAGTTTTTGACAATTTATCATGGATCAATTTGACCTAATTTAAAAATGATTTTTATTACCTTTAAAGTTTCAGTGGGTGTAACAACAACAATGGCTTCAAAGACACCAGCTCCTAACCCTGCACAGAATGTTTAGAATCTGCTTTTTCTATCAGTGAATACATTATTCTTGAGCCATTCATTTGCACCAAATCTGCATGCGACTTTAGGAATAGAAAATGTGACTAAAGGTGTTAAACCTCTATAAAATCCTGAAATTCCAAAATTTCTATATGTTTCACCAATGCAATATTTAACTCCTTTTTATGAATATTCTTTATAGAGTTGCATCATTGTTTTAATATACTCAGTTGGATATGTAATACATATTTCGATTCCACCTGTTATGCCACCTAAAATAAAATGAATAAGAATAGTGTTTACCTGAGATGATACCTCTTACTGGATCTTTGGAATCAACTTTAGCTCCACCCATTGATATGATTTTTATTATTATTTATGGATATATATATATCTTATTTTAATAATCTGTTCAAATAATTATATTAAAATGGCATCACTTAATAAATTAAGTAGCAATGAAATTGGTAATATTGATAGATAAATTGCTAAATTAAAGCAAGGATAAATATTGACAGAACAAGAAGTCAAGAGTTTATGCGTCAAAGTTTTAATATATAGCAATTAAAATAGGCAAAAGAAATATTATAGGATGAACCAAACATCATTTAAGTTAGAGCTCCTCTTACAATTTGTGGAGATATTCATGGTCAATTTCATGATCTCATTGAACTATTTTAAATTGGAGGAAACCTACCAGTATATTAATTTGCAAATCACTATTAGGATACTAATTACTTATTTCTTGGAGATTATGTAGATAGAGGATCATAATCAGTTGAAACATTTTCATTGATGTTATCACTCAAAGTCAGATATAAGGATCGCATTGTATTATTGAGAGGTATATTGATTAATATTATTAAAGGTAATCATGAAAATAGAGAAATTAATAAAATTTATGGATTTTATGATGAATGTTTTCGTAAATATGGTAATGAAATCGTTTGGAAATAATTTACAGAGGTTTTTGGTTATCTACCACTATCTGCTATTGTTGAATAATAAGTAACAGCAAATTTAATTAAACTCAAAGATTTTTTGTGCACATGGAGGTTTATCACCTGCAATGGAATCTGTAGATCAAATTAAATAACTTAATAGAGTCTAAGATATTCCACATGAAGGATTAATGTGTGATTTATTATGGAGTGATCCTGAAGAAACAAAAAATGGTATTTAATATTAATTATAAATTTAAGGATGGGGAATATCTCCAAGAGGTGCAGGTTGGACTTGGGGTTGTGATATTACAGAGAAATTCTTACATTCTAATAAATTGAAATAAATTGCCAGAGCTCATTAATTAGTGATGGAAGGAATACAAAAAGTACATAATCAAAAGACTATTACTATATTCTCTGCTCCTAATTATTGTTATAGATGTGGTAATTAAGCATGTATCGTTGAGGTTGATGAATAACTTAAAATGAATTAGTATCATTAAATAGTATTTATTATAGAATATAATTTGAACCTGCACCAAGAGAAAATGAACCTCATACAACAAGAAGAGTACCTGATTATTTTCTTTGAAATACCTAAATATGTTATATAATACAAATTGTTATTTAAAAGTTAACCTTTTAAAAAATTCAGTAGAATTTAATTATTTACCCTTTATATATATGTATTCTGATTATTCCGTTAGGAAATTAATATTAATTATTTTATGTTCTTTTAATATTCAATAATGAATCTAAATCATATTATTCATAAATTATTCCAAGATATTTTCAAAAGTAAATTTGTTAATTCTCACTTTGTTTAATATTGGTGTATTCTAATATATAAGTAGTTGAATTCTTTCGGTTTAGGACATTATTATGTATATAAATATCTATGAAAAAACCTCATTAATTTAAGCTTTGTCATATAATTTTTAAACAATTAACATTGGGCATTTTCATAGTTTTATATCATACAACATTTATGATAATTTTTATTCTTCTTTAGATAATGTTTTGTATTCTTTTAAAGTAATGTTGTTTAAGTAGAAGGTAGGTATATTGAGTTAAACTAACTAAAAAAAAAATCTAATTCTTTATTTTTGGATTCTTTATCAGAAAATATTTGAATAAGATTATAATCTTATATATATCAAACTATATTAAGTATGTAATAAATATAGATCAAGTAAGCAAAATCTTGTCAACCAGATTTCACAAGGGGTTTATTTTAGATTATTTCTAGATTCTCAAGATTCTATTGGCTTGAACAATTATTGTATAACTTCACATTCCTAACAACTTCTTCTACACGAAGAATTGATGGTCTAGACTTCCTATGACGAATTTTTCTATAATGATTCTAAAAATAGTACTTTTTATAAAGTAAACATTGGGAACTAACTCTACACTTTTTCGAATAATTTTCGTATTCCAAGAATTACTCAGAAATTAGCTGTTGCTAATTAGTCTGAAATTCTATAGGAGAAAGGGGACACATGTTAATATCTAAATCATTTATCATAATATATGTTATTAATAATAATACATATTTAAATTACTTTTTGATTAATATATACAATAATTCCTTACACTATCAAATGATAAAATTTATTATCTATTATTAAATTTTATCTTCAATTATTTAATTGCACTTCAATTATCTGCATATATTTAAATCAAATTTGCTAAATATTGATGTATGAACAAACTTGAATCAACAATAATATAATTTAACCACTATTTTAGGATTTATGAATATTTATTCTAAAATTATAAATATAGAATAATATATCAATTTATCAATTTAATCTCATAAGTATTATACATCATTAATATTCTAAATTAATATCATATTTATGATGAATTAAATCATCATTAATATTACTAAACTATTTAAAAACAACATTAAACCTACATTTAACTTATTTTCTTTTTTTTTTTTAATAAATTTAGAAGTATGTTAATATATAATATAAATGATTAAATAAGATAAAATAGTATGTTATTTTGATATAGATTTTAATATTTACATTTTATATGAGATTGGTCATATTCCCCATATTATTCTACAATTTTATTAATTGAATATTTTGAAAATGTAAAATTATTAATATTTATTATCTATTCTATAACTAAATTCTAATGATTTCATTCAGCTTCATTTAATAAAATTGAAAATTTAACATTTTTATATTCATTTTCTAAAAGATTTTTATATTTAATTGTCAATCATCATCTGATTCATGATTTGTTTCATTTTGTTAAACTTTTATTTATTATTTTCTAAAATTAATAATTAATTCAATTACTAATTTTTATTTTATTATTTATATTTATTATAAAATTAATCTATCTCTTATGTATTGTTATGTTTAATTAATAATTTTTAGTCTTATTCAAACATAAATCAAGCTGTTTTTAATTAATTATAAAGTTAATAAAGTATTATGTTTTAAGATTACTTAGAGATTAATATTCTAAATAGCAATAGTATTCAAC